CCCTAAATCCTAAACTGTAAAAACCTTAAATCCTAAGCTGTAAAAACCCTAAGCCCTAAAGGTTTAGGGTTTAGGGGATCCACCCCTACAAGATCCCGGTCCTTAGCTCGGTAAGTCTAGGGTTTAGGGGTTTAGGGTCAGTCTTACATATGAGCCATAATCTAAACTTCTTAAAGGGGTTTATATAATGGGATCATATAGGGGACTACTATAGGGGTAATTATAGGGGTTATCAAGGGGGATACTAGCAGTTTAGATTATGGCTCATATGAACAAAATCTCCTCTGAAGCTTCTCCCGTCTCCATACGGCCGGACTTTTTTGCGGGACTCTTTCCTGGAGAAAGTGTCATGCCACGTGGGCAAACTCCTGAACGCCTAAACCCTAAACCCATAAACCACCCTAGACCCTAAACCCCTAAACCATGCATGACCTGGTCAGTTCTTTCCTCGAAGTACAGAGATCATCCGAGACATCGGCTGCGGCAAGGACCTGTGGCTTGCCAACTTTTCCTAGGATTTAGGGTTCAGGATTTAGGGCTTGGATAATCTTGTAGGTACATCTCGCAGTCTTTTTCGTAATGCGGCACTCCCTTTCAACTTGGCAAGAGGGTTCCCAGATTAAGAATTAGGCGTCTTCAATGAGGGCTCTCCAGATCTAGTACCAGTATGTAGTAGTAAAAGTACCAGTACTAGTTATACTAGGATAGTCAGTAGTAGCATTAGAAGTGCCAGCCATAAAGCAATCTGTGAGGATTCAAGTAGAACAGGGATTCTGAGGGCTTAGGGGTGGGTCAGGGGATTGAATCATAAAGGATTTAGGGTTTAGGGTTCTGAGGGCTCTGGGAATTTTTTGTGTTAAGGATAATTGAGGACCCCAAGACCGAAACACCTAAACCCTAAACCCTGAACCCATAAACAGGGTCTTTCTCAAGAATGGCCCGAAGCTGAGTAAGCGGCCAAAATTCATTAGACAGGGTCTCTTCACGAAAAGCAATGCAACCCTAGTGTCTGAGAGTCTAGGCTTTTCGAAATCCCTGGGTGGTTGTCAAAATGGTTTAGGGTTTTAGGGTTNNNTTAGGGGCTTAGGGGTTTAGGGGTCCACAGTCTTTACTTTGCCCCCTAGAGTCGAAACTTAGGTCCAAAAAACCACTCCAAGAATTCCCTATCCGCAAGCATGAACCCCCAAAACCCCGAATCCCAAGAACCCAGAACCTTCTTTCCACTCATCTTCCAGTTTGTCTTGCATTTGGTTCTGAATTTCCTTGTTCTTTCGACTTTTCTGCATTCCCTTTCAGCCAGGGGTAAGTTATACTACCCCTGCAGAAGCCCCAGTTGCCCCTTCATTTTCCTTACTTTTTCCAGTTGATTCTCCATTCTTGGGTGATATTCCTAAAGTATAACCCAAATAAAGCTCTAGGGCGTCATGAAGAACACACGGATCACAAGTACATCAGCTTATACAGTTGGTCTCTAGGAAGAGGGTGCACTCGTTGGGTACATAGCGGCTCTAGCGGGGTGAGATGCTGATACAAGGATTCGGTGAGGTTTCAAACATTGGAATCCATGCTGTACGGACCCCTCTATATGAGGACCCTCAACCTGAAATGCTAACGTTTGAATGCCGGTTTTTTTTTCAAT